AGCACCCTCACCCTCACCCTCTAAATCACAGAAATATCACACATGGCGCCACATACCCCCCCCCCCCCCTCGGCTGACAGCATGACACAAGGGCCAGCATGACATGCCAACCAGCCTCATAGCCTCGTATCGCAAGCTCGCAAGCATCTGTTTAGCATCACTCTGACGATGCAATGAGATGGCTCGGCAAAGCATCAACTTGCAAAGTTATGCAACATCTGGAATGGCCTCCCTTCCGTTACGCTTCCTCCTCTGGTTTATTTTGTTTTGTTTTTTTCTTTGTTTCTTTCTTCCTTTATTTTTTTTTTCCTTTGATCTATCTCGGTTTATTTCTTCTTCTCTGTTTTATTTTTCTCTCTCTTTTTCCTTTCCTTTATCTTGGTTTATTTCTTCTTCTGTTTTTTTTCCATATTCTTTATTCTTTCATTAAGTCATTTGTTTGTTGTTGTTTCTTGCTTTTTCTTCACTTCTTCTCTCTTCCTTTGTCCCCTTTTTAGATTTTTTAAAAATTATTTTCTCCCTTTCGTCCGTATGTCCTCTTTACCGCTCTCTTTTATGACTATTTTCGAACGTATTGCTTTTATTTCGTCGTTCACATTAGTCAATTATCTCTTGCAGCATCATTGTTAATACACCAATATAATAGTAATAATAATGATGATGATGATAACGATATCAATGACAAGAATAAGAAAATGAACAATGACAACTAATGATAATGATGATAAGAATAAAAGCAAACATTTCGTGGATCTTATAAGACATTGTTTCTTTCCTTTATATTTCTTTTCTTTTTATTTCACTTTTTTCTCTTTTGATAGAATTTGCATGTCTTTTTTTTTTTTGGTATTTGTTTTTGTTTGGTTTTCTTTTTTTTATTAAAAACAAAAAATCTTATTCTCCGCATTTTTTCTCGCCTGTTTCTATACCTGAGTTGAGAAACAAAAAAAAAAAAAAAAAAAAAAAAAAAAAAATCGTATTTCCCCTCTTCTTTCGTTCCCTTCTTTCTTCTTGTCCTGCTCTTTCTGTTTTTTTTCTCCTCTTTTCTCTCTTCCTCTCTTTTTTTTTAATTCCTCTTTCATTCTTTCTGCCTTATGCTTTTCTCTTTCTTAATTTTCGTTTCCCTTCACTGTTAGTTTCCCCGACTGTGTCCATCTAATCTCAGAAAACAAAAACAAAAAGTGGCAACTCAATTCTATTTTTTTAAATTCTAATAATAAGACATTTGACCATTTTATTTACATATATAGTATATATTATAAAGTTTACATACAACATTTTTATCATCTTTTATTGACAATTACTACGTTTAACACTGCCATATATATATATATTTTTTTTTCTCAGAAGATATTTAGCAAATCTGAGTGTTCCGGCCTGAGGTAGAGTTGCCAATTTCCCTTTCCTGAGATTTTTCTTGTATATTCGCTTCGACGCTTTTTTTTTTCTCTCTCTCTCCATATTCCTCTGTTTCTTCCTTTCTTTTTTAAAAATATCTGTCCACGTGTGATCATGTGTGTCCATGCGCGTGTGTGTATGTTTAAAGAATTAATTAGTAATTATAGACCCCAAAGATGAAAAAAAAGAAAAAAGAAAAATTCTGTCATTGATAATATTATTAATATCAACGTATTCACATATCACTACGATATAATAAATTCATACTGAATACCTTGTCATGTTTTCCGCGGGCGATTCCACGCTTTTAATCAGCTCAAAGACATTTCTTGGAATCAAAAAAAAAAAAAAAAAAATCTAATAAGCACAAAGTCGACGCCACGAAAACCCCGTAAGCTGTGAATTATTAATGATTTCGTTGATCAGAAGGACATTTTTTTGGTTATAATTATTTTCTTTATATGCGATACATCCAACTTTAGCGATCCCCCCCACGGAAATCAGGACATTGCCGCGATCAAGAACTACGGCTGTAGGCCTACATCTCTACATGCATTTCCCTCCGGTGCAAGACTTGCATTCGCTCACACATGCAATAAACGGAATATAAAGCGACCGGCAACACTGAGAGACGACCGAATAAGACCTGGAATCCTCCCCGAGTGGTTGAAATAGCTGCTTCCTTTCTCCCTCCTTCTATCTCTCCCGAATTCGTCAATCAAGCTCGAAATTTTTGTTTTTGTTGTTGTTTTTTCTTTGATATTGATTAAAAAAAACACCTATATTTATTTGTACGATGCTCTATTTACTGTCATGGGATTCTCAGATTCTTCAGTGTCGTAGGAATGTTTATGTTGTTTTTTCAGTTGATATTGGAAGGAAAAATGCAAAAAGGGAGATCGGAGTGGCTGGAAAAGAGGGTCGAGGACGACGGGAAAGGGATTCGGCGATGCTCTTGTCTCAGTTCACGACGCCTATATTGATTCGCACGGCACGCTCTCTAAAATCGCGAAATTCTCACGTTTTGCGGGCATCGTAAGATTTTTTTTCGCAATGAAGACGATAAAAATTGCCAAGGAGATTCGCAGTGACAAGAATCATACATCATATTCACGAGACCGATCGCAGGAAAGGAAATCCTCCGCCGTTTCTTCCCGAGAACCATCGCTGGCTCGGGAATTCCCTGATGATCTGCAATTGCAACCGCAGAGACGCCGTTTGTGATCATCCACAGGGACATCAGGCATCGGCAGGGAATTACGCACAGCTTGTGGGAAATTTAAGCCCAAATGTGTGTTTGTATATGAATTTGTTTGTGCGTGTGTGCATGCGTATCTGTGTCTATGTGTGTATGGAAGAGAGAGGGAGAGAGGGAGAGAGGGAGAGAGAGAGAGAGAGAGAGAGAGAGAGAGAGAGAGAGAGAGAGAGAGAGAGAGAGAGAGAGAGAGAGAGAGAGAGAGAGAGAGAGAAAGAGGGAAGGAGAGAGGGAGAGAGTAAGAGAGAGAGAAAGAGGGAAGGAGAGAGAAAGAGAGAGAGAGAGAGACTGAGAGAGATTGAGAGAGAGTTTATCGAGACATCTTTATCGAGACATCTCAAAAGATGAAGAGAGGGAATAGCTAGACATATCTCGATCTAGATGGGCATAAGGACCAAAGGATGGTCTTAAAAAACAGTTAACAAATAGCTTTTTCTTTTTGTTTTCATTTTAATTCTTAGTGAGTTACAGACTAATGATCAGAGGCTGATTTCCCTGCACCAAGCACGCCCACGCCCTTAACCGTAACTGACAGTGAGGTTTTACTTGCGAGACACGTAGCTGCGTTTAATCTTGGTTTCTATTTGAAGCATAAGAAAAAAACATGTGTTCCCACCTGTATAAGTGCGGGGGGGGGAGGGGCGCTTGGAATTTACCTGGAAGCCAAGGGGCGCCTTGACAGACAAATAGATAGATAAATAGATCAACAAATGAATAGATAGATAGATAAATAAATAAATGTACAAATAAACAAATTAATAGACAAAATAAACAAGTCAATAAATAAATAAATGCAAAAATCAAACCACAAAATCAGGTTCGACGAAGCGATAGCAATCTCCGTCACGAAGAGTCTCGCATGAACCGGGTAATTATCGTACATCAGGCATCTCAAGAATGTCTTCCTCTCCCGCGCCGTCTTATCGTACGTTGTCATAAGTCATCGTGCGGTATCGATAATGACGTGTTTTTTTTATCTATTATTTTCTTCTTCTTTTTTTTTTTGGGGGGGGGGGGGGTTAAGGGATTTTGTAATTAGGTTTGACCATATATGGTAATGTAGTGATATGATTATCGTGTCTTTTTTCCCCGTGGTATTTGTAATTAGGTGTGGAAATGGATGAGGCAGGAAGTGTTGACATGAGATAAAGACGATGATTGAGAAAGATAATAATACTTATTAAGATAAAGACAGGGATAAAAGTCGAATTGTAATGGGAATGGGAATGGGAATTATAATGATAAAGGCCGTAATAACAACAATAAAATTAATTATGATAGTAATGGTCATTAGTGATAGTAATAATGTTTAGTGTTTAGTGGTGACAATGATAATCAGAGATGATAACGATAATTAGTGACGATAATGATACTTAGTTATGATTTAATGAAGAAGAAGACGAGGAACAAGAAGAGTAAGAAAAAAAAGATAAACAAAGAAGCAAAAGAAGAAAAAGGAGAGAAGAGAAAGAAGGGGAAAGGGGAGGAGGAGAAGTAGAAGAAAAAAAAAGGAGGAGAAAAAGAAGAAAAAGGTGAATGAAAAAGAAGTAAAAATAATAATGAAAAATAAGAATAAGAATAAAAAAATAGAAAGAATAAGACAATAGAATGAGAATGAGGAAGAAGAAAAACAACAAATATAATAGAGGAAGAAAAAGAACAAGGAAAAAAGCAAAAAAAAAATAAATAAATAAAATAAAAGAAGACAAAGTTTTATTATTGTTTAATCATCTTTATTGTTGTTGTTGTTATTGGATCGTTGTTAAGGCTATTGTTATTTGTGCTACTGTTAATGGTATCATTAATAGAGGCTCTATTATTATTTAGATAGAACTGAAGCTCGTAAACATACATTTCTGATGTTATTATACATAACTACAATCATACAAATGCACAAACACACGCTTTCCCGATGTTCACACAAAGACACATAAACATGCACACAAAAAATCTTAATATTCCTATACGCACACAAACACTTTCTTCATATTTTTACACCCACACCCACACATTCGCGCATACACACACACATACACATACACCCTTGCTGGCCTCAGGCCCGAGTGCGCATGCGCAACAGCATTTGTATGTGGCGCGATTTTGCATTTCAAAAGAATATAAATTCATTTTATTGCTTTTTACGTTATATAATCTACTCATAAGGAAAAAATCTCTGAAATAAAATGAAAGACAAAAATGAGCTACCCATTTTACATATTAATAAGAAAAACGTATAGAATTGGAAAAGCAAATGAAAAATTCAGCAGAAAAACATTTCATTAGCTTTTACATGTCACGGCGCCATTTTGTTTTCGAAGCGAAAAAGAAAAAAAATGGCAAAATTTACCTATAAGAACGTTCATCGCTCTACCCGAAGTTTCAAAGATTATTAAGAAATTATATATCTTCAGTTTTCTTTATATGAAAAGCGTTTTCAAAAGGGAAAAAGAGAAAAAAGAGCGATTTTTCTGAATGGCGGTTCAGTTCCGCTCGACAGACCTAGTGAGAAACTTTCCACAGAAGCCTGATTTTGAAACCAAATCTGCCCAAATTACGAATGCTAAAAGAATGCGAACAAATGCCACAAAAGCTAAATATATAACTGACGACAACGGAGAGAGGGAATAACGAGGGTAGAAGGAGAGAGAGGTGAGGGAGATCGCAAAAAAAAAAAAAAAAAAAAAAAAAAAAAAAACGAACGAAGATATCTACTTCTCCTTCCATGATAAAACGACGATTCCTGATTTTCTGAATAAGCCACTGCGTAAAGTCTAGTTTTGTTCTTTATAATCTGTGCTTTGTACTTCAGAAATTAAAGTGTAAAAAAGTGAAATACTTAAATAGTCGGGTTGATAAGTGTAGCAGAAACTTTAACATTCCGGGGTATGTTATGATGATCCGCAATTCTGTGCTGAAAATGAACCAATGCATGTACCTAATTTCCGTCTCTCTCTCTCTCTCTGTCTATCTGTCTACCTACCTATCTATCTATCCATCTATCTATCTTCTATCTCTTAAGTACAGATACATACAAGTTTACAGATGGAGATAAAGTTCTCATATTGGAGTCACAGATCAAGCATTCATTACCATGACAGCGTCTATTTCTAATCATTACAGTCTACATCATATACGTCAAACTGGGCTGCCTTGTTTCATTTTATAATTTTATTCCACTATAATTGATAAGAAATCGATAAGCCAAGTTTCCGGAAAAGAGGATAACGGATCATTGTGATTGACACTTTAGGATGAATTTGGTAACAGTTTCATTGCGAAAATCAGACACAGATGAGAGATGAGAGAAAGAGAAAGAGACAAGACACATGCGAGTGAGAGATGAGAGATAAAAGACACACGGGTGAGAGAGGAATGGCGTGAGAGTTCGCTCGTGTCTTCATATTTAAGATAAATTATCCGGTATAGACCTAACACAGAAATTCATTAGAATACGTAAGCATCAAATAAATACTACTTATACCGCCCTCTTACCTTATATTCTGTGATTACATTACGATATATTTGCGAAATTCCTTTCATTGAAATATGTTTTATAATCGCCATTCACTTGCCAAAACATACTGATAAAATTGTTATGTAGCAGTTGGATTTGTTTCGTAAGATAGAAAATATGTATTATTAAAATGGCTTAGTTACTTTTTAAGAATAATCGACTTAAAAGAATGTTCGATGTCCATAATAAGAGTGATGTATATCTGTATGTATATACGTCTATATCGTTAATCATCATCATCAGGTGCCATGCCGGCAGGCGTGGGCGATCATGGCTCTCCAACCTTCACGATCTTTCATAGAGTGTAGCAACTCGGTGTTCTTCGCTGTTCTTAGCCATGATGTCAGATGGTCTAGTAGCTTCCCACGCTGCCGGCCACGATCCCTTTTACCATGGATCTTTCCCGTGACCACAAGATGTTCTAGGGTCTCCTTTCGTGCAACGTGGCCTACGAATCTGGCTTGCCTGGATCTGATCTTCTTCAGCAGTTTCCGTGTTTCTCCTGCCTCAGCCAGAACTTGTACATTAGTTTTCTTCGCAGTCCATGGTATTCGTAACATCCTCCTCCAGAACCACATTTCAGCTGCTTTGATCTTTTTAGCAACTTGGCTGTCGATGGTCCAAGCTTCGCAGCCATACATCAAGATTGGTTCGATGTAACACTGGAGAAGTTGTTTGCGGATGTTGAGCGAGATGTTACGATTCCTCATTATATTGCTCATGCTCTGGAATGCCGCTTTTGCTTGGCCTATGCGACAACTAACCTCGGTTAGGCAACGCCCATCAGATGTAATTAATGCGCCAAGGTACTTGAATTTTTCTTCTTGTTTAAGGATGATCCTGTTCGCAGTTATGTTGCATGTTGGTATTTGCCCCTTCTTGATCACGACCATTGTCTTGGTTTTGGTGTTATTAATGGAGAGACCTTTCCTTTCGCTTTCAGTGATGACTGTATTTAGTAGAGACTGCAGATATTCTTCTGTCTCTGCCAGCAGGACTGTATCATCAGCGTACCGTAAGTTGTTGATGTTGTTACCATCTATCTTAATTCCATTTAAGCATTCCAAACTGTGCATTATAATTTCACTATATATTGAAAACAGGTCTGGTGATAAGACACATCCCTGGCGTACCACTCGTCCGATCTTCTGGTACTCTCCGATCTCGTTGTCGACCCTCATAGCTGCTATCTGTTCCCAATATATATTCTTGATGATACGGAGGTCTTTTCCGTCTATGTGCAGTTGCTCTAGGATGTTAATAATTCATCGTGTCTTACTTTGTTGAATGCTTTAGAATAATCTAGAAAGCACATGTAGATGTTTTTCTGTACTTCCAGTGACCTTTCAATGATGTTTCTCAGAATATATGTAGCATTGGCCGTGCCCTTTCCTTCCACTAAACCGCATTGTTCTTCAGCGATCTCCGGCTTAATTTTGTTCCTGACTCTATTGGTGATAATCCTCAGGAGTATTTTTGTCACTTAACTCATCAGGCTTATGGTCCGATGGTTTTCACATTCTGTTGCTCCTGGCTTCTTGGATAGAGCGATGAAGACAGACTTTAAAAGTGATGTTATCAGGCCCTGGAGCTTTACCTTTTTTCATTTTTCTCACAGCATGCCTTACTTCATCTTCCATGATGGGTGGAGCACTCATTTCTAAGTCGATAGTACGTTCCGTGTTCCTCTCATCATCAAAGAGTTCATTCAGGTATTCTGACCACCTTTCCAGGATCCTGTCACGTTCCATGATGATGCCCCCCGTCTTTGATTTAAGAAATCCTGATGATGATTGAGTCTTCTTGTTGGTAATTTCACGGATCTTTTTATGCATGGCTCTTGAAACAGTTATGTTGTTTCTCAACCTCTTTGCATTTTTCAGTAAGCCAAGCTTCTTTTGCTTCATTGCATTTGATGGTAATCTGCTTGTTTAGATGTTGATAAGCTTCTTTGTTGTTCTCAGAAGCTCTCCTTCTCTCCATAAGAAGCAATATTTCATCTGTCATCCATTTCTTCTTTGTTGTTCTTCCTTCCTACCTTCCTAGCACTTCGTTTGCTGCATCCATGATCGAAACCTTCAAGCCCTTCCAGTGATCCTCGATGGAATCAAGATCCTCTAAAGCACTGAACCTGTTCTTTACCTCTACAGCGTACTTCTCCTTTATAGTGTTATCTTTCTGGAGTAATGATACATCTAGTTGTTCCCTTAGGGTAGGTTTCTTTAGTGTTCTCATCTTGGCCCTAAATCGGCCCATCACTGGAACATGATCGCTGTAACAGTCTGCTCCTGGTAACGTTTCGGATGCCAAAGGAGAGTTACGAAAGCGTTTATTAACAAGAATGTAATCAATCTGATTCAGGGTGTGGTCATCTGGACTCAACCATGTCCACAGTCTTCTTGGAGGTTGCTTAAACCAGGTGTTTCCAATCATCATGTTGTTCGTTTGCGCCCATTCCACCAGCATCTCCCCTCTTTCATTACGGCTTCCGAGTCCATGAGGACCCACGATGCTGTCTACCCTCTCGTTACCACCTTTAGCATTGAAATCCCCCATAACAATGATGATATCCTGGGATTTGCACTGCGAGTATGCCTGATCTAACGGGGCATAAAATCTGTCCATGTCTTCGTCACTGCTCTTAGTAGTGGGTGCATATCCTTGAATTATGCTGATGTCCATAGGACTCCCCTTAAACCTTGCCAACAGAATGCGGTCAGAAACGGCCCAGTATCCTAATAAAGCCTGTTTTCGAGTCTGCGATGATGCCAACTCTTCGTTCGTGCTGTTCACCTCCTGAGTATATGATCTTATGGTTTTCTGATGATATAGCTCCAGCTCCCGTCCATCTCATCTCAGATATGCCCATGATATTGATGTGCAATCTGTTCATTTCCTCCTTGATGTTTTCCAACTTTCCAGCTTTATTCATTGTTCTAGCATTCCAGGTAGTAATTTTAAGCAGATGTTTGTTCTTCAGCGCAGTAGCTTGATGACGGTCTGGTGTCACCTGCAGCTCATGACGAACCCTACCGGACGGGGTCGCTTCTAGGAAGCTACCCTTCACGTCGTTGTTGCTATTCTCTGTGATGCGTTGTACTGCCATGATTGTTCTTGGGAAGGTACAGCAGTGGTTTCCCGCTGCCTTCTGCCGGTTTGTTTACGGACTCTCCGCTAGCCTTTGGAAATCAATCCTAACCCACAAGGCAGTGGGGGTATCTGTGTTAACCATAAGCAAAGTTGAACTCTGCCCTGCTCAACACCTGCAGGGAAGCCCCATCCAGCCGAATAGGTCGACAGCAAAGCTTCCTGCATCCACCAGGCTCTGCCACCGGCTTGGCTTCACCGTATCCCTAGCATGGGGATCGTTAATGGGGAAACATTTCTTTTCGTAGACATTTTCTAGTTGGCGAATTTAGATGAACATCACTAAACCACTAATGGACAAATGATTTTTTTGCCTGAGACGACTGTGCCATGCATGGCGTCCCTTCTGCTGCAAGGAATAAAAATGAAAATTCAATTCTAGGTCATAGATATGATAACGATGTAGGAAACAAGGAAATATAGCGGTGCCATCAACTGTAATAACCGTAGAAATAGTATTAGTAATCTCTTAGGAGCTAAATTTGATAGAATAAGACATTGGTCGTTTTTTAAGGCTGAAATGGACTTTGTAATGTGATCGATTCATGAATCTACACGCTATTTTATTGGTGAATTTAGTCCCGGGCAAGAAAGTCTGGCCACGCCGCTGCTCGTCTTAATCTTTTGCTTTTTTATTCCATTTCTGAAAGTATTGTGAATGGAGGTGAGAGGGGTAAGGGCTATGC